GGTCGGCGGGCGCGCGCGCGCCTCATCGCGTCCCTCGTCTGGGCGGAACCCCCGCTTTATTTATTATTATTTCTTTCCTGTGGTTCTCCCTAGCGCCTAGACACCGTGCGGCTCAGACAGTCATTCGGACAGGCGGCGGAATCGCAGAGCTTGGTTTTGCCTTTACGGGGTGTAGCTTGAGGGGTTGAGGCTGCATCCAGAGAGAAGCAGCAGGGGAAGGGGAGATGTCCCGAGGCTGGATAGAGAAAAGGGAAAATCCTGAAGTAATCAACTCTAAAAAATAAACGAACAAACTGTTGTTCCCCCCTGCACACACACACCTCCTTTAGGCCCATTTGTGTATTTCAAATTTTGTCCTTCAAGAGATAGGCTGAAAACTTAACTCAAAGATAGGTGAAAAGCTCAGTCAGATGTATCTAGGTTTGGGAGGTTTAAAGAATCCCAGGCAAGTCACAGGAATGATATCTAAGTGCAAAATGAGAGGGAAAGACTTGATTCAAGGAGGTGTGAGAACAGCAAGATCAACAGCCCTGCCCTTACAGAGCTCATTTCATGATTTACACCCTAGTGCAAAGGACAAGCATTTTTGAAAAAAAAAAAAAAGCAATAGGAATAATTTCACAGCTTAGCTACATAGATCATATCTAAGCATCTGTATTTCTGTCTTTTTTTCTCTAATTACTCACATATGTGCATCACACACTGTGTGTCCATCCCTCTCTTGCCATCACTCAACACTGCTGGCAGTGGTCGCATTCTCTCCCTCCCTCAGAAGATATCTCAAGTTGTGAAGTGGCAACTCAACTTACATTTCCTGGAAGACCCAGGCAGAGCCAATTCATAACCATATATTTCATAAATTACTGTTTTTTACACACAGCAGAGTACATTTGGGTAGAGCAAATATTTCCCTAGCTCATATACAAGAAAATCACAGCCACCTGTCCGATTAGTTGTGTGCAAGAATAGAAGAGCATTGCTTCTTGCAGTCACACTGAGCAGCTGACAAACTTTAAAAATGGGTGTAAACTTAATCTGCTTTCCGCATTTTGCTTCTACAAGCAAGCCCTTCACAGTGGGGCTTTAGGTGGAACATTGGTAGCAGTTTTCTTTGACAGCTAGGGTATTCTTAATAGGAGTTCCAATGTTACATATGTAACTAAAGGCTAGATACATTGCAATGACTTATGGAGATAACTTAAAACACTGGCAAGATGCGCCTAGACCGCAGCTGCTCTTTCCCATGTTTTGACAGTTCCTCCCACTGATTGATGGAGAAGTCCCCACCCCTGCAGTGCAATTAAATGGGCCTCAGGTGGAAGAGGGGGTGGACCCCAGTAGCTGCCTTCCATAAAGAAGCGAGCCCAAAGAGGATCTAGCTAGGTTCTTGTGGGGTTCTGAGTAGCAGTGCAGACCTTTCCTTTGAGGGGTCTTAAGGGGGAGGAGGAGAGTGTGGTTTTTTTTTTTTTTGGTCTTTATTTTGTTCCCCTTTTTCTTTATTTGCCAGAGTTATTTTGAGAGTCTTGGTCTAGTAAAATGAGGGGAATTTGTAGGGTTTTGGTGCTTGTGTGAGTGGGTGGACTGTTCTAGGTGGAAACTGAAGAGGGCTCCAATGTTCGTGGAAGCTTTCTCTAGGCGTGAGCTGTGTGTCAATCAGTAAGAGGCTTTAACTTCCCTTTTACTGCTATGATTTCAAAGTTCTTTAAGTTCTCTAAATAGCTGAACTGCTTCCTTGGATTGCTTTCTTTCTTTCTTTCTTTTTCTTTTATAGCTTTCTTTATAATCTATGGTAGTATTATCAAGCTGTCCCTTGGAAGCGGCTAAACTTGCTGTATGAATTAATGGAAGAACTACAGAGACATGGGGGAGGGTTCTGTCTTACCTGTGAGTTTTTATATGGCTCTTAATGTGATCTGAAGTGCAGAGACTTTGTTTTTCCTGCTGCTTGTCTCAGGGTTTAAGCATGTGATGAATAAGAACTCAGTTTATGTTAGCAGTTTCTGATATTTTCTAAATGTAATAATAGCAAATCAATAGGACTCTTACTGTGAGCTCAGATACTGCATGAGTGTTGGTATCTACAAATACTCTTGTGAGATATCAAACCTTTGACTGTGAAGAACTTCACTGCTCTGCCTAGTTTTAGTTAGATGCTTGTTGATCAAGACTGTTTAATCAAATATTTAGCTTTTAGTTGGCTGGTGTGTTGCTTGTATGGCTGTGTGTCTGTAGGACTACATTAAAGTTATTAATCTTGTGATTCTTTAAGAGGAAGTTTTGGAGAAGTCTGGATGAAGTTGGGCTGAAATATGGGGAGCTGTAAATAAAAGGCAAAGTAAAATCTTTGTCTCAATAGCAATATCAGTTTTTCACCTTTCACTTAGTGTCCCAGTGTCCCCTTCCAAAAAGGTGGTGTTTCTTTGGGCTAGAGGTGAGAATAGGGAGAGACATATCTGTTGAATTCTGATAGGGCAGGAAACTGACAAGTTCCAGGTAATATTTTAGTGGCTAATCCTTGTCACTTCTTTCTTTTAGTGTTTAAAAAAATGAACACTGCCTCCACCTCAGAAAGTGGATCGTATTCCACAAGCCATACAAGACCCTTCTTTTACGCCCAGCCAACAGCACAACAGCCTTTTCCAAATCCGTGGTACCTCAGCCATGCCTATCCATACTGTGTACCTGCACCAGGTAAGGTAAAGGAAAGCCATCCAGAGGAATTCTGTTTGGTAAACAAGTACTAGAGGGGAGGAGAGCTGTGTGCCTGTTTAGAAGCTTCTTAGGGTTTAGAGTGGAGTTAATGTAATCTTCTACTCTTCAAAGATCCCGTTTTTGAAGTTTGTTAACTGTGTAGTGTTATTGAAAGACCTGTTTCTGCAGAATGGAAGTTAAGCAAAAATTCTTAACTTACAAGGCTCTAGAATATGCCAAAGAATGTGTGTAAGTGACCTTCATGATGTACACATGCATATAGCACATGTAAATATAAATAAAGTACACAAATGGTATTGCTGAACATATAATGCAAATAGTACAGCTAATTATTAGCTTACGTATAACTGGAGTTGTATTTTAAAGACAACACTGGCTTGGTGTTCCAGAAAACATGGAAAGCTGATCAGTTCATGCTTCAGGGATGGAACCAAACTTGGATCCAGGTGACCCTGTGTGTGCTGGGGGGTTGGACTAGATGAGCTCTAGAGGTCTCTTCCAACCTTAACAATTCTATGATTCTATAGTTACAAACAGGAGCTGCTCCATAACAAGGAATCCTCTTGGAGGTTTCCATACAAGACTGGCTTTCCAGTGCTGACAGTTGAAGTGTATCACTCTGAGGGTCAGATTTTGTAGAGATCCCTGCATAGGCCAGCAGTTATTCAGAACAATTTATTTTGGAAGGATAACTTGTGTTGTTTGTTTGTTTCTTTCTTTATCCCTGTTGTCTAGGCTTCCGAAGTGGAAATGCATATTTTCCATTTTATTCTGTTGCGCTCCATGAGTACCCTGGATTTTTTGTTCCACAGCATCCAGTTCATGCAAGAATTAACAGAAGGGCTTATTTTAATGCTCCCTCACCTTCCCCTATGTTTTATCATGCAACACGATTTAGACACTATAGTACCTCTGGGAAGAAAACAGAGACAAAGGAAACACAGACTGATCCTAGACAGCCTGAAAACAAGCCAAAAAAGCATCAAGATGTCCATATAGAAACGAAAGGTTGTGATGCAGGAAATATGGCCTGTGTTTCTTCTGGTGTAGGTACAGAGACTGAAAGTACTTCAGAGAAACAAGATTCATCTGGATCTTCCATTGTGGTAGACAGAGAGTTCCATAATAAGAGCCCTTCCAGCTCTGCACAGTATAGAAACCTTCCTTCTGGAAGCTATGCCTTTGAGAAGGAGGAAGTGAGAATAGAGTATGGGAATGGCTCTCCAGCAATTCAGCTGTGGAAGTCCTTTAAAGAAACTATTCCCTTGTATGATGTGACAAGTGGTAAGCCAGTCCCAGAAAATATAGTGCAGCGTGACCTTTTTTCTGTTAGTTCATGTGAAGGAATGATATATGGCCCACATGAAGGGGAGAAATTGGTGCCAGGAACTTATATAGATGAGAGAAAACCTGTTCTGCCTTCAAAACAGAGTGTTGAAGCTGTGCAAGAAAAGGAGGGCCAAGAAAATGAGGCGAAGCGAGATGCAGAAAAGCAGATGACTGCAAGTCAAAGGGTGAAATCTCCTCCAGGTGAAGCTATGGCAGTGCAAATCGAGTTGGCCAGGTCTGTTGGCATTGATCAACCAGTGGCAAGACAGGATGTGCTGGTAGCCAAGAAGTCTTCTAGCTCTAAAAGAACTGCAGGCTCAAAAACCTCTCAAGAAGAGTCCAGCCTCCAGCAATCAGGACTACTTCCATCTAGTATGGAGGTAATAAGTGACTTGAGTTTCCAGCAGAAAAAGCTGAATCTAAGCCACAGTGTGACTAATGAAAGTCAAACAGATAGAAGTATTTGGTGTGACGAGTCAGTGGAGAAGTATGTTCCTTCTAGCAGCTGGCTGGCTTGTTTGGAGGGCATGGATGCAAATTACAGCTATGATGTGTGTTTGCCCCCGCGGAAACGTCGAAGCGTCCTCAGCCTCTCCTCTGAGGAGGTGTCCTCTAGAGAAGAAGGTTCGTCGCTTGATAATGCCCCAGTGTCTTATTTTGTCCCTGACTATGTGCTTCAGAAAAGCACGTACGCTTTCCAGAAGAGTACAGAGGGCTTGGAGAAAGAGAAAATTAAAAGTGCTGGGTCCCTTAATGAAGATGAAGTGGTCATAAAGGAGCAGATGAACAGTTTTGATAGCCAGGATGTCACTAAACCTTCACCCATGAAGACTAAAGAGGATTTAGGTAAAGGCAGGAAGCTGGTAGCCCTTCCTAGGTCTTCGAGCATGAAAAAAATCTATTCTCTCAAGAAAAAAGCTGCTAAGCGTTTGTCAGAAGCTGAGGACTCGGAGGAATATTTTTTGAGGGGAGAAGAGGAAGAGGAAGATGGAGAAGATGAAGATGAAGATGAGGAAGAAGACGAGGATGAAATAGAGTATTTCTTTCAAGAAGTTACACCATATGGGGTCTTGATGTCTCATAGAGGAAAGTGCTACCGACAAGTTGGCCAGAAGGTGTTTTGGAAACAGCCTAAAAATGCTATACCAGCTCAACTAATTAGCTGGCCTGCTCGAGAGAAAATAAAAACTAGGAGTGGGCTTGGTGAAAGTATTGGCCTAGTCTACAAGTCAAAGGGGAAGGAACAGGATGAAGTTGTACACAGTGACTATGGATATTATGGAAGAAAGAGGCCTACAGCAGAAAAAGAGGAATTCGAACACAAAAGAAAGCTGCAGAAGCTCTTGGGAGGTAAGCTGATCACTGAGGAACTGGTGCTGGTTAATGGTTAGAAAACACAAGGAATTCCAAATTGGAACTCCAAATTGTAATGACCAAAGAATGTAGTAACCTCAAGTTACCGTGAGTGGTTGAGGTCTAATAACCCCATGGTTCTTAGTGTCCTTTATGTTCTTAAACTTTTATTACATTTGAAGACTTTCTACAAAGCTGTTTAACTTTTGTCTTTAGAAAGTTATGCTCTTATTTCTTAACAGACTTAAATTGGATTCAATGACCTTTGTGTTTAGCCTTGTATTGTGGATTAAATAATATAACATTAGCAAAGGTAGATGTTGACTTGAAGTGGACTCTCCTTACTTAGGAAGGCTACTAAGGGAAAACATGGTGATACCAGCTGAGGAGTTTTGGATCAGCAGTGGTGCTAAACCCAAACTAACCAGCAGAATGCAAAGTCTCTCACCTCCAGCCAAGAGCAAAGAACAAGGTACCAACCCTTTTTCACTGTGGTGTGTTCTTCTTGTTCCTTTAGCAATGATATGTGCTGAATTTGACTTCTATAACTAGACACTTAAAATGCATGACTTCATAGAACCTCAAGCAGCAAGTTCTATTTTAAGACAATAGTAAACTGGGTAACTTGACCTGGACATTAGTCAGTTAGTCCTGAACACCTGAGTGGTGAACAGGAGCAGAATTGGCCAGCCCTCATTGGACTTTTTTCTTCTCTGCTGCATGAATATCTATGGAAGCTATCAAAAGATAATGCAACTGGAGTTATGGTTACATAACAAGCAAATGTTGCAGAAAAAAATCTTGCTTGGCAGAGGTAATAGCAGGTTTAGCTGCTGCTGAAATGGGTACAAAGTAGTATACAGGGAAAGGAAAAAAATAAACACTGTTTTTGAGAGCATTAGGGAAAAAATCAAGCTTAATTTGCTTTACTATTGATTGAGAGAATTAAAACCAGCTGTGTCTGGCTATTTAGGTTGCCTGCCTTCGGTGAAGCCAAAGAAGAAAAGAATAGGCAAGCCCTCTTCCAAACACAGAGACAGAAGGTGTGAGGTGGAAGAAGTGGAAGTATGGGAGATGCCTAAAAGTAACGTACGCAAAGGTTGGTATACTGATACCAACTGTGCAAATAACTCTTAAACACCCTGTCACCATCCCAAACCATAATGTTTCTCAGTTTGTGATTTGGGAGGCTATTGGATCATCTGTGAAATGACAGTATATGCAAACAAGATGAGGAGAGAAAAATGCTAAACTTTGAACACAAGCTCATTTTGCTATGAAAATTACTGAATAGGTAATGTTTCTCTTTCAAAATACTATTTTAGCTTAGTTCCGACAGATTGCTTTATACTAAAATACTGGCTCCTGGATCACTTCTTGCAGTGTATGTGCCTCTACCTGCAGGACTAGCTTTGCCAAAATATTGCAATATGGTGCCTCACCAATGCATATAGGTAGTTCTAAAAGCTTTAAAAACCTTGTAGAGTAGAATCTTGTTGATGCTTTAAAGGAAAGAGAAGACTAGAGGGGCAGCTGACACTGACTATGTAGGTTCAATAATAAGCTTTTAGTGCATTTGTAGGAGACTTAGAATCAAAAAAATCATATGTATAAGAAGCTACTTAAAGATCAGAGTTTCTTCTGGGAAAGAAGAGCTTGGCTAAAGCTAACTACAATATCCAATGAAGAAAAGATGTTGCTTTTCTCCCAGTCAACAAAATATTAACCAGATAACTCTTCATACTTCTACAGAGTTTGAAATGGCTTAAAGCAGTTCAAGTGTCCCATTAGTCTAAATTATCAGTCCTCACATCTGATTATTAAACTTTATTTTTTTAAATAAGCCATTAAAGTTAAAATATTTAGTTTTATCTCCTGTAGTAAGAACAGCTAGGAGAGCTTGTAATTCTGCAGTTATCTGCTGTATCTTTTCCTCCAGAACTAGTTAGTGTCTTGGATGCCTGCATAAGCTTCAGTGTGGTTATAGGGCACAATGAAAATGTACTTGTTTGATTGGGAGTTTGTTGTTGGTGCTGGCTCTGTGATACTGGTCCAGTACCCTTCCCTAAGAGTTCATCCTTGTGTGAACTGAGTATGTAGTTCTAATCTCAGCTGCCAGTGTCTGTCCTCTCCTTCAACAAGAGCAGTTACTGACACCTAGTTTTCCTTTAGAAGCAAACTGACCTATGCTGTTTGGAGGCAGAGGGTGACTCAAGACTGATTTGATGTATATCTCTTCTCTTTAAGGGCATGGAACAAGAAGGTCGCTCTATAAGAGAAGATAATGCCAAATATTTGGGCAGGACTGGAAACATGATAGTGCTTGAAGTTTCTGTAAATCCATAAGCTAATTAATTTTGTGTATTTTGCAAGTTGCTGTAAACCCATAAAGGGTAATGAGCAACAATGTAAAGACTGAGAAAGCTATTAAAAATAGAAATAAGTACTCGATGTTAAATTAAGCCAACTTTTGTAAACAGTGCACCCACTATTTAAAAAATAAATTAATTTGAATTGCACTCCAAGACTTGTATTCCATCTGTACATGGAAGCAAAAAAGCTTCTGCAGGGATGTATGCCTATGAATGCTGCTATTGTACAGCAACTTCCTGCTCCTGCTAAACTCTGTAGGATTGATGCCTGTAAGTTCATTTCCTCATAGTTTGCCTGCAAGGTGTAGATCTAAATGCTAGATTCTCTTCCATCATCAACTTTTTTGTGAGGCTATTTCTGTAAAAGTGTAAAGGGAAATACTCTAAGTTGTGTCAAATTCTGACTTACAAGGAACTTCCTGAGCTCTTATCTTACATGACTGAGGACTATATAAAAAAAGGTAGCATTGATGTAGTGCTTCCCCTCCTGTTTTTTCTGTGGGGCAAAAAGGAATAGCTACATAATGGAGTCCCATAACTGGAAAGCTGAACTTGAAAGGACAAGCAAGCTCTTAAACAGGGATATTATCTCATTCTCAGACTTGTTATTGAAGACTTGTGTTACTGTCCTTGGCAGAACTCTCTATATTGACATTTCTGTAGTGTTAACGAGATAAAACTTGGTCTCTTGCTGAGCTTTCTTATGGATAGCTGGAGCAGACTTACCTAGCTGAGGTGAATAGCTCATGACTTTTTAACTATTTTCAGTCTATGGTGTATAGTATTGCTGTGTGAGAACAGTGAATTAAGCAGAAGTGTGGGTAGAGAAGAAATTAAATTATAGAAGTTGGCTTTTCCTTTAACATGAGATTTGGTTGGAACTGGGGCAGGACTTTTCTGCCTTCTCAACCACTTGTCTCTATGTAGTTTTGTGCTCTACAACAACACATGGGGATTAAAAAAAAAAAAAAAAAAAAAAAAAAAAAAACACTCCTGTGGCTGCATTCAGTCTGTGCATGCTTGTTACTATTTCGACTTGTAACCTTATTTTCCCTCAGTGAGGAATACTGAGGTTTCCCTCTTAATAAGGATCTTAGAAGTGCTCTTTCTTAATAGCACTCTTTGCATTTTACTAGTTAAAGAGCTATTGAGCTATTATAGGCTTTTTCCCCAAGCTATTGGGGGAAAGGATAATTTTACTTGTTAAAGAGCTATTATAGGCTTTTCCCCAAGCTATTGGGGGAAAGGATCCCCAGTAACATGGTGATACCAAGTTTTATTTTCTTTTCCATTCTGAATGCCACAAGAAAATATAATACAAGTCCTTAATCAACTTTTGTGCTGCATAAAGTTTCTATTAAGGTTACCTATTTCATCAAAACCTTAAAGGTTGGGGTGGGGAGCAAATAAGAGGAACAGGAGTCTTTGAAGAAAAGAGCTTTTTATACTTTTGCCCTGAATAATAAAGGAGTAAACAAATATTTGTTAAAAGATAGCCAGTTTTGCTCTAGTTTTGAGGGGCAAAATAAGTGCTGGAATTTGCTCAACTTGGAGGTTAAGGAAATAGATGTAGTTAAAATCTTTAAGGACTGACCTCTTTTCACTGAATTTGGGTGCAGCTGTACTGAATACCAAGCCCTCTCTGCTGACAGATTTAACTGAGTGCCCTCTGAGCCCTGTCTGGTAAGGGCAAAAGCCAGGAGGGTAGAAGGTACTCTTTGAGAGTAGCCTGCACCTCACAAATGCTCCTTCCCAAATCCAGACTTTCAGAGGCTTTGTGCTGCTTTGTGCTTTCTGCTCAGATGTAAGAACTAATTCAGGGCTAGGTGACACAATGCCCAAGAACATGCAAAGAGAGCAACACGACTGTGTAAACAGCTTTCTGGCTGAAAGCAAATGCTCTTATAAATAAATCTCTTAACTTCAGACTATACCCATGCCATGACCTCTCTCTACTTAAAGTAGTATGCATGAATGCTTAGGTGCTTCAGAAGTCCTTTTCTGCAGATTTTATGTAAGGTGTATTCTAGAGTCTATGAGTTTTAGTCCTGTGCCCTTAAACCTAAGCCTTCTACTTGTTTTTCTTCAGTAAGCATCAGTGCTGACTTGCAGACTGCATCTTAAGTCAGCTGGCTTAGAACCACATATAAGATTCAGTGCATAAAATGGCTGTGATTCAGAAAGGCTGAGCGTTAGAAACTATTTTTAAAGGGTGTGAATTAAAGCCCAGGCTCCTCCTTTCATTCAGCAACCAGGCACAGTGACTCCTGAGATCTGATTTCTGGTTGCACGTGTGTCAGACTCTAGTTCCTTGGGAAGCTTGCTAGGCCAGTGATGAGTAACTGCTGCCCTGGCAGAATTATCAGCTCTTAACTAGAGCAGAGGTGCACTGTCTTTGAAGACTATATGCCTTCTGCAAGATTTCCTGAAGGGCAGCTGAGGAACCTACTTGCTTCTTGGCAAGGCACAAAACAAACAGTAGAGGCCTCTGGGATTCCCACAGTGGCTGTTTTGTTGGACCAACTTGTCTGTGACTCAGAATTTCCAAAGTGTTAGCTGTAGCTAAAACCTCTGTGGCAAAGTAGGTGGGGTGGAGCCAGTGGTGTGCTGGCTTGTTGGATTTTAATTCTATACTTTAATTTTCAGTGTGCTAGCATCTGTGTGGCATAAAACTTTTCCTATTACAGTGCTCTTTCCTGCCTTATTTTGGGAAATATTCACTATAGATATCTCTAAAATAAGGCAACAAGTTTTTTTCAAGACAATGGAACTGAAGCCCAGGGCAAAAATAGTCATTACATGCTAACCATGCCATAAGAAAAAAACCTCAAATTCCCTATATTGACTCACTGCTATTGGCCATTCATACTCAACAAAATCTTAAAAATGAATCTGCCTCTGACTGCTTGACAAGGGTGTAGGCACATGTCTATTTCTGCTGAGTAATCTTTTGGCAAAGACTGGATGGTTCACAGAATTAAGATAATTGGACTTAGGAAATGACGATGACTAGCTACAGCTGTGTTTCTACTATATGTGCTGTAGCTGCACTTCAGATTTATGTAGGTCCACAGGACTATGATTACATTATTACCACTCAAATTTTAGTATGGAAATAAACAAACCTGCAGAAGAGGCAGGAATCACTGATAAAAAATGTTGGTTCTTAGATACGTTAAGCAGTCCAACAGTTGAGATTTAAATATAAGCCTACTCAGTCTTGCAAGGGTATGACTTCCTCTTCTGTTTTCTGGATTTATGTCTACATGGAAACATTTTCCATTAATAGAAATTGTTGAATTTACTATTGCTCCTAAACTACATATTCCTAAAAGACCTAGTGTCTCTTAAATGCAAGCTTTGGCACTTTTTAAAATACCAAATGAGGAAATGAATCTTATTGTCTTGTACTAGCACTGGCTGATCATTGTCACTGTTTAAAAACTTGCACCCTATTGAAATGGGGCTACCTTTCACTCTGTTGGAATGAGCTATAATTTTGAGTTTGAGCAGAGACCTACCACAGCTCAACTTTGCATGGATAATTAGGAAATGGCAAAGAGGGGCTGTGGCAGTGTTTTGGTGAAATAACAGGTCAACAGCAGGGATGCAAGACTAAACGAAAATATCAATGTTTTACTTAAGCTCAAGCAACAAAAGTTGGAATAGCCACAGAGGCTTCTAGCTTAGCCCTGCCCTAGGGAAAGCAGTACAAGAGGCCTCTTGGAAGGCACCAGGTGAATGTGCCAGGTCTACCACACTTCACTCACTACCTGGGCCTTCCAGTATCTGAAATATTTTCTATCAGTGAATGGGTTTTCCTTTTGTTGCCAGTGCTTTTTCAAGATGTAAAATCATTAAACCAATGCAGGGGAAAGAGGGGTAAAGAATATTCTTCTAAGCAGACCTTGTCCATTTTCTTTTCCCCAGAAAGTACCGTGAATGACTGACAAGGTATGGGGCTTTATTTTTGTTAAGGACTTCTAGACCATTAAGAATTTGAAGGTGGAAGAACAGACATTTCTAACTTTTTGAGAGCACTCTCAAGCTTTGGAAAAGATGTCAGGGGACATGTATATGTTAGGTGCATTTTAGTCGGCTCTTCCTGAATTTCAGAATTCAGAATGTTAGAGCTTCATTGTGGGTTTTTCTGTTGTTGTTGTTGTTATAAATGCAACTGTAGAAACTAGGTTCTGTATAACATCAAACACGATCTAGTCATTTCAAAGCAAATCTGTGCTTCTTACCCTTTTCAAGGTACCTATAAACATCTAGGTCCTCCAATCAGATTTGTATCACTAACTGTTGATCGTTCAAAAAGAGACACTTGCTCTAATGCAGTTTATAACTCTATCTTCTTTTTCAGTCACATCTACCTTGCAAGGTCATTTAGAAAATGATCTTGCTGTCAGTGTCCAGGGTCAAATACACAGAACTTTTCCTCGTTTCAGCTTGTAGGTTCTCTACTACTAGTCTTTGCTTACATGCATCTACTTGAAACCGCGTTTGAAGTCATTGCACATATTTAGATTCTTCTTGCAGTATGATTCATAAAATATTACTAATCAAAATAACTCTAATAAGCATACAAAACAAGTTGGAATTTACTTCCCCAAACCTTTTTTAAAAATGAAAAAAATCTCAAGATGTATCAAAACAACTGTTACTGAAGTGTGTGTAGGACAGCAGAGCTCTTTCATTTCCCTAACTAAAAATTTTAGTTTTTCACAGTAAAAATCAATACATGACATCCAGCTCTCATTTGGAAAACACCTACATGTTGCAAAATTGCACTATGGATGGTGATGGTGTTGAGATTTTGCTATACCTAAAAACAAGTCTTGTTAACACTGTGACTTTATCTGGAAGTTAAGTCCCCCCTCCCCCCTCAGCAATGCTTTTTATTTCCCCAACTGCAGGTTCCGGGGTAAGTACAGGGAACTCACAGCAGTTTGCAGGAAAAAAAAGATACAACACAACCTGCTCATGATGATTACTGCAAAAGAAGTGTCAATGCTTTGCACAGTACACATTGCAGTCCCCACTGCAGTGACTGTGAATATAGTAAAATTCATGGACAAAACATACTTCAGTAGGCAGCCTGATGCTTTTGTCTCTGTTAGCAATACTTGGGTAGTCACTGCTTTCTGGCCGTCATCACACGTGGCAACGCAGAGGCCCAGTGGGACCCAGCTAAAGGACCCTTAACACTGGTTCTGCAGTAGAGAGATAGGCTTGACTGAGTAAAATCAGTGTTTAATGCATCTCTTTTCTGGCTGCAGCATTGCAGAGGGGCAGAAAAGCAGAGCAAATATAGGATGATATATATATATGTATCTATCTCTACGTTCTGAGTTTCACAAAGCACTTCCCAGTGGTGGTATCTTCATTCTTTGGATGTTTCCTCACAGTTCACAAATAGGGGTCAATAATCATGCAGCAGACAGCTGCTGTCAGTCAGATTCCAACCTCTCATTAGATTTAGAAGATTTATGCTTTTTCTTTTTTTTCTTCTTCTTTTCTTTTTTTTTCTTTTCTTTCTTTCTCTTCTTTTTCTTATGTTTATCTCTACATTCTGAGGAAGTGGAGCTGCTGCTACTTTCGTCATCATCCTCACTGCTGCCATCACTGTCATCATCTTCTGAGGTAGAGTCTTCCAGGAGCTGCTTCAGCTGCTGTATCCTGAGTACATTTAAAAACATGAATGAGAAACTTCTCCAACTCCCCCACACGTAATAACTTACTTTAGCTTTCATCTAGCTTGACTAATGGCTGCATGCAAAGGGCTGGATTATGAGTTTCATTACAGCTTTCACACACAGAGGCAAATTATTAAGAAATGCTTCTGTCTGTTAACATAAAGAAGCTCCCGCTAAAAGATGCTCTGAAATGGTGCAAGTAACTTACAATGATGATTCACCTTAATGTTTTACTAATTTAAAATTTGACCAAAGTTAAAAACTCCAATTGAAAATGCAGTTTACTACAGGGAAGCACTTACCTCATTTCTTTTACAAGGACTTACCTCATTTCTTTTTCATGACGTTTATTTTCTCTTATTAGATCATACATTGGGTCTTCATGTGCCTTTGGAAATGGAAAACAGAAATTCAGTGTTGGTAAAGAAAAGATTTTTACTGACTGCTTTAATTCAAAACACAGAAACTGAAAGCAACCTAACACCGGTGCTTTAATGAAAAGATGAATTACACTCAGTAAGCTCCTACTTAAAAAATTATACTCTCAGATACTGGTAAACATTTTGGTCAATCTTTTCCTTAAAAAAAAAAAAAAACCTAAACATTTTGGTCAATCTTTTCCTTTAAAAAAAAAAAACAAAAAACTATCTATTTAGGTGATGAAGGGGGTTCTTCCTTAGATATGCCACCTCTCTCTCAACAATTACTGATTACTATAACAAATCACCACAGAAATACTATATGAACAGTTATAAAAAGAATAAATATTGAAACTGAAAATAATAAGAGCTGTGCTTTTTTTAGCACATTTAAAAAACCTGGATACAAGCAGGCAGGAATACAGTATCTGGGAATATAAGACAAATAGGTCATGAGGTATGAGCTGTCCTAGCACACTACATACTGCCGTTCTTAGTTTTTATAGTTTGCACTGCAGTGAAAGATAGTTTTGAAATAAAATAGCAAACAAACTTTGTGGATATTTAAGATGAGTTCATCCTAAGTAAGAAAGCGGCAACAAGAGGGAGTGATAATTTCTGTTGAAAATTTAGGGAAAAGTAGAGGGAAAAAGGGAGAGGGAGAGAGAGAGAATGTCAAGTGTTGCTCAGCAATAGGAATTGAAATTAACAGTAGAAAATGAACAATGTTGGGAAGGAACCATTAAGGGCCTTGGACATAAAGCAATAGTTTGTTGCAATGGTGAAGAAGCCTGGGGAGAAGAAGGAAAAAAAAAAAAAAAAAAGTAGGACAGAAGCTATCTGATCATGGGACTGGCCTAAAAATTCTATCTGCAGTAGCATGCTGACTGGCCAAGATGAGCCCAGACTGCATTTTCAAGGCTAGGAAGCAGGACATAAGAAACAAAATAATGAGAATTTGAAATATAGTTTTACAGTGCAGAAAAATAGGGAAAGTTATAATTAAAGACACTGGAACGCAGAAAGAACCTGCAAAACTATGGTGAAGCCTCATGCAGCAGGAGATTGGAATCAGAGACAATGACTGGACTACAGACCTAGACAACAGGCTTCACGATGTGGTTGTTCACAGTGCGAGCGGAAGGCTTGAAGAAGCTGTAATGTGGGCAGCTCAAGCTTGACTAAATTTTACTTTTTTATGTTGATATTTTACCATAAAACTTATGCTGTAACAGTTGATTGGATACAATGGTTGAAACAGCTTCTTGAAGACTTCAAATTTAAATATGAATATTAATTATTTCCCTCTTGAAGAGCAGATTTGCTGCAAAGTAGTCAAACATCCAACCACATCTGTAGCTCTTTCTTTACTAGAAGATTTTCGGCATCCATATTATACTAGAGACAGAGGAAAAATCCTTAGTTGAAGGTCATCTTATAGGCTTCTTTTCCCTTGCAAAACTACTCATCAATATCAAAAATAAAAGCCATTATAGTACAGTATTTGTACTCACTACTCTAAATTGTTCCAATTTCTGATTGCCTTTAATAAAGAATGGGCATTCTTTATCTCCCGTTCTGTGTCCATAACGTTTACACCTCCAACCTTTAAAAAAAAAAAAAAGAGGCAGCAGTGAATTGCATCTCTCCAACAGCTCAGAAAAGAAAAAAAAATATTTATATTGAAAATATTTTCTTTTTGTTTGAACAGATACAGAGATACAAGTGTTATGTTGATAAATGTGACTTTCATAAAATGTAAGGCTATTACAGTCTTCAAGATACTGGTTGCTTTCATACCACAACAATGCTGGTCTACCTGGGCCTCATCATCCTTCTGCCAGACAACCTGCCCTCCCTCCGAGTAAAAATATGGGCCAGGGGTCTCTGAATATATTCAACCTTACACTGCATAACTTTAACTTCTTTTCCCAAAGGCATCCAAAGCCCTTTTGTTGGGGCATGTGCCAGGAATTCTCGTGCGCTTTCATTGCCTGGTACGTCAGGGATGCAGTCTTCTGGTTTTGTTTCATTCTCCTATGGAAAAGGATAGGAACAAGAACAATAATAGTAATAAAAAAAATCTACACACACAGGCCCTCATTTAACATGGATCTATTTCCTCCATACCATTTCCTTTTCTTGTAACATATAAAGGATCCAAAATACTTGACTCTTAGTAAAGTTACCTCATTTTCCCTTACCCTTGACCAGCTTATAACTAAGGAGTTATGATATTCTCTGGGAGTATCTACTTCTCTACGTAATTTATATAGATTACCTAAACATCGAAGGCAGATAGCTAAAGACAGGCTGTGTAAAAAAACATTGCAATATTTAAAATGTACTTAAAAATATTTACTAACCTTTATTAGCCCCGGGGGAGGTTTCTCATAGCTGGAAAGCAATAAAAATACAGTTACTCTGCTTTCTGCAACTTAACACAGACAAATAAATTGACAAAATACACCACTTCAGTGGAATAGTGTCAAAAATTTCACCTCACTTTTCCCTTAAATTTTAATCAACCAGTAATTATTAAGAGTTACAGCACAACAGGGACACCTGGATGCCAGTAGACTGAACCAGAGTGTTTCCAAACTGCCAAGTTTTTGTCTTATCACAGCATGAATCTTTTGCAAACACCCTTCAGATTCATAGACTTGTGTGGGAGCAGCTATTTTCATCACGCTGCTCTACAGCAATGTCGTGCATGTGATTCAGATTCAGCTACCATAAATTCACAGCTCTCTCTGAATCTTCTTCTGTAGCTACACGCCCCCACCACCCAAGATCTTCCTCATCCAAATTTCTTTACTCCAGCACAGCTGAATCACAGCTGTACTCATCTTAAAATGTCAAATCAGGCCATTCCTTAAATCTAGCTTTGCCAGCTAAACTTCATATAAAGTAACAAATCTTTTCCTCTATTTGACATCTAAATATAGAGTCTTGCTGACAACTATACTATCTTTTCTCCAGAAAAAGATAAAATTTATTAAAATCTAAATACCAAGCAGGTGCTACACAGGACACAGTAACTGAAAAAAAATGTATATACTTAGGAGTTAAATGTCAATAAACAATGGGATTGACCTCCTGTCAATGACAGCTTTTTGAGTGCTGTTTATAACATTTCATAACTTCTTCTAGGAAAGGATAGAATTATGTTCTAGGGAACTTCCTGATCTTTCTATACCTCTCAACCCCTTTCAGTAAAATGGCACATACTCTTTACTGCGGACTGTTAATGGAGTCATTTAGCATATCTCAAACCTTTTTATCTTTTTTTTTCTTTTCAGGAGCTTTTTTTCCTCCTACCTCTTATGTTCCACTCTAGCTAAGACTTGCAAGAAGAGGCTCCCCTTCAAGAGAGACTCCTCTTCCCCAAGAGATCCTTACAAAGTCAGGAGGAATTTCAGCAGGTGACACTTGGAAACGCGTCGGGGATGGCACTAACAATGTACTCTTCAAAACCTCCACGTTGACGCGTGTGGAGACACTGGCCACCTCGCACACTGCACCAAGAGAGACTCTGCAGGTAAGCGGGTGAAACGTTCACCTACTTGCACACAAAAACGCCTGTTTTGCAGAGATGGGACACGTCCCCACTGCAGAGCTACGTGTGGGGCTGTTTAGAGGAGCTGGATCCCAAGCGAACGCGTGGAGCGGCCAACCCTGTCCCCATGGCTCAGGGTGGCCCAGATCACACCGAACATGAAATAAACACGCGGTGCCACCAGGGCCCTGTGCTCACACCGGCGGGGAAAGGTAACCGTCTCAGTGGCGCTCCCGACACAAGGAGCCTGCAGAAGCAGGCGCTGGGCTAGGCGCAGGAACCGCGCTGGAGCGGTAAAAAACATGTCCGTGGAAACGGGCAGCCCGCTTAAACGACATAATAT